CATATTAACATGGATCGGGATTGCATTAGAATGACAGGGATCAGGATTGCAATCCTGAAAATTGACGAGGAATCATACAATCGTGATCAAAATCCTGACAGTTCCAATCAATCCCAGTTGAATCCGGTCAAATGGCTTTTGATCGTGATGTCAATCTAGATCCCACAAAATCAAACCGTGAAAAAGGGATGTTTTGCGACCGCTACTGCTCTCAGACAGTAAAGGCAAAAAGCCATAGAACAGATAACGAGAATGTACCTCCAAAATCACAATTTCTATTATGTCTTCAAATCTGCTCAATGTATATAAAACAGTGGATGAAAGTCACTTAGGATAAGCTTACGTGGTATGGGGAGCCCTCTCTATACCAAGCAATCTGCAAAAATATCAGGACAAAGCGTTCGATCTAATAAAATCTTCAACGGTAAAGGATACTTATGATAAGAGACTTATTAACAGAGAGGTAAAAATAGGGGGCTCAGGGGGATGGGCCCCCATTGTTGATTACAAATATTGGTAAATTTCTACTTTTGCTTTTGTTTTTGCAACATTTTGTGCAAAAGCCTCATTGCTATTGTTTTTTTATTGCACTACACCACTGCCTATGAAGGTTAGTCAATTGATGAAGTTTGACTAAGCAGTTATGACTTACAAAATTGTCAATCAGCTCTGTCCTAGAGAGCTAAAAAATCAGTTGGTCAAAAGGTCTGCCATAGCAAAATACAACACAAGGAATAGATAGGTAGAATCTCCATGCGCAAAAACTAACATTAGATTATACCAAAAGATGTTCTTGTACACTAGTCCATTTGCTTGGAATGAAATCCCACAATTCATTAAAGATCTCAATTCGTTTTAAAATAGAACTAAGATTTCACCTTTTGAGTTAACATACATCAGCTTGGCCCGAATCAATGAATCTTCATACAATTTATATTTTAATCTCTAAGTAAACTTATCAAATTTTTACTGTTATGTAGTTTTTAATTCTGTATATCTTAACTTTTCTCTTTACTGAATGGATGTCGTGTATAAATAAGATTAAATGAAAAAAAATGTCTGATCTTTTATGGTTTCATGCCGAGCTAATTTCTGCTATCTCAAAAGGCGAAATCTTGGTTCTATTTCAAATCGTACGATGGAATCGATATCTCTAATGGATTGTGAGATTTCATTCCAAGCAGACCAGTGTACAAAAAACCTCTTTTAACCATTGCAAACACTCAGGAACGCCGGAACGACAAATGGGCAAGGGGGCAGGCTTGAGTAAAAGGGCATTTGAAAGATATTTTCCAGCTACTAGCAATTCTTTCGTAACAGCCATTTTTTTCGATCTTCTTCAGGTATCTTGAACATTTGTTAACTTTTGGCATTATTTTACAAATTTTGAGAACTGTCTTCATGAATATGCACTAAAATCAGAATTTCATATGACTCTCCCTGATTATTAGAATGGCCGGTTTTAAGGGCAGTTTAATGAAAAGGGTACTCTAGCTTCCTTTGTTCCTTCTTTTAAAAGGCAACAGGGGCGGTTGACCCCCAGCGCTCCCTCTTCTCTGGCGTCCCTGCGAACACTAATGCTTACTTGATGCAACTTTTGAAAATCTTTTAAGGAAAACTGGCATTGATTCATGTTTTACCCTCAATCAAACAGCAATCAGTAACATTGCATTTGGGAAAAGTACTTCACAGTCATCGACGTACGCTCCGTATTCAAGCGCCAATGCGGTTGATGGAGGCAGAACTGGCGTTTGGAGTTCAGGTGGTTTTAGCAGATGCATGCATACACAAGCGCAAAGACCTTGGTGGTCTGTAGACTTTGCTGGAAATGCAGTTGTGTATTCAGTTACGATATACTCAAGGTTAGATTGCTGTTTTGAACGAGTCAGTGGTCTGCATGTAAAGCTTGGCAACAAAAATGCACCGAATGCAAATACAAGAATTTGGACCACGCCCACTTTTTCATCGACTCAAACAAACCATACGAAAGAATTCGGCCAACCGAAAAATGGAAAGTATCTTTATGTAGAGTCGCAGGTAGACAGCAATTTGGATTTTTGTGAGGTTGAAGTAATGGGATACCTTGAATAAACTGTTTACCTATACCTAGGAAGTGATGGGATACCTAGGTAGACAACCATTTGGATTTTTGTGAGGTTGAAGTAATGGGGTATTTTCATAATAGATGAAAACAACTTTTACGAGGTTACCAAAAGAAAAAATAACTTGTATGAAACAATCATGTATACAGCTATAATATCAGCACTCAAGCTTTTGTATAAATTTTGTTATTAAGAGCACTGTGGACAATTTTGAGTTAGTTTCCTTGTGCTGCACGAATTTATTTGCATTAAAACCAATCGAAAGGTAATTGAAAAGTTAAACGAACCTCCATGTATGTGACGTCTGATTGCAATTCATCAGTAGCGAACGGAGGAGCAGTACAAGACATTGTCTCGTAGTGTTTGTGAACCAGTCTTGAGAGAGTACAATAAATCAATGACAATGCTTGAAAATGGCTTTAAAAAAAGAAAACATTTGAGTAAACTAAATCTTTTAGTCTGATATTTTTCAGAGTTGAAAACGTCAGAACATAGATCGAAAACTCTACGCTAGGAAACATATAAACTAAGTTCTGGAACGAAATAGGCCAATCAGAAACACGAGCACATGACTGTTGAGGTTGCCCAATCAGTGCCGCTTGCCTATAGGGATTGTTACCAATGGAGTCCTTAAGTGGAAAAGTGGAAATGAACTCCTTTTGTCTACCCAATAGCTGCAGACAAAACAACCCTCTATCCTGGAGTCATAGAGCATGCGCTCATTTCTTTTACACTAGATGTAAAATCACTATAAACAAGAATTTCTCAAGATGAGGATATCAAAGCTTCCCTCGATACCATCAAAACTCATTGTGGGGAGACTATCCCACTGCATGTGAAATAAAACAAATGGCAATATTTATACCCAAACAAAATTATATTGCTCTCTCATTTTGATAAGAACAATTTTATAAGAACCCGAGCCATTAAATTGGTCAAAAGGGATCTTAACATGCCTATGCCTTGCCTATATTTAGAAATAACTGATCGAAAATGGCTAGCGAATGACAGTTTGGGATCTAGTATGGCGCCGAGTTGTTATTGCTCTTGAACTCTCATTACTGGAGCTCCATTTAAAAGGATGATCCATTGGAATTCTCCGTGTTTAAAAGATAATTTCTACTTTCTACTGCTGGTTGGGTCAGGATTAAAGAACATTTGCCACCTAAGCGCCCACAGTTCAATAATGCAGCATATCAACTAATGCAGCATATGCAGCTTAAAGTATAGTAGCATCTAGACGTAAGCATGTATTGTAAACAATTTTATATGATATAAAAAAACTGCGTAGATTGATGTGTCATCGGCAAATAAATTTTCCTTACACTTTAAGCCATCAGTCAAGTCATTGATATAGATAAGAAAAAAAGAGGACTCAAGATAGAACCTTGGGGAACACCGGCTGAAATATTACGCCATGTAGATGCTTTGCCATTCAAAACAGTACGCTGTTTTCTATTGTGAAGGCAACTTTCTTCAAATTCTTTTTCCTATTTTCTTCAAACACTTTTCCTTCGCCTCCTCAATTAAATTGGATCCCTGAGATATCACATTGGCAATGACCTCTCGCTTGCATTCTGGCTGTTCATTTCTGATGAAAGTCTTATAAGCCCTGTTCTTTTTCATGATGAAGTTTCTAATTGACTGCGTTATCGAAGGTGCCTGGACAGATCTGAATTTGATTATTTTGTTTGGTATAAAGTTGGAAAGGATATTCAGTAAAATTTCATTCAGGTTTTTAACTTGAAGATCTAGGGATTTTGACTTCAGAGAAAATGTTTTAACAATTGCAGTGATCTTTGATTGCAGTGATCTTTGTTCTATCATAGCCCAAATTCTGCGTTTATATCGAGGTGGAAACATATTTTTTACACTTAGTTTACCAAAAACAATCTGACTGGTTTTTTAAAGACGGGTGAAGACCTGATTCAAGAAATAAATTTGGCTGATCATTGTATAAAACTTCAATGCAAGATTGAGAATTTCCAGTTAAGTGATTTGACTAGAAAACTAATATCGTTTGGGGCTGAAAAGAAGTTGAATTTGTTTGGTGTCAAGCAGCTTGAAATTCTTGTTGATAAAAATCTCATCAACACAACGATGAATTATAAATATTTAGATCCTATTTTAACATTTGCGTCATGAAACCTTTAAAAAAGTTCCTAAAAAGCTGCAAGCAGAGTGAACATGATAAGAGAAATAAAGATAGTCTGACATTAGATGCGGCTTAAGCATTATGCAGAACGATGGTTTTACCAGTTTATAGCAAAAAGTTTTTTTGGCAAGTTTTAAATCGCATCATAATTACTTTGCATTTATTTATGCTAAACCTTAAATAGATATAACGCCTCCAAAAAAATAATGGTTTGTTTTAACTGAATTTATATAAACAGTTACTCAAGCAGCATCTTTCTCAAAAGAGGCGTGGCAGCATACAAATCGATGATGTCACCATAGTCTATCGACTGTAAAATATCACTTTCGACGTTGATTGTTATCAGAGAGGAAAGGCGGTCTTGTCCCATCGTTTGCGTCTTCTACAACACCAGCGAATTCATTTCGAAATGAACTGAGTTGAATTTTAACTGTCGGAAATGGGAGTTTATAAAATAACTGAGACCAGAGCGCTAATTTCCTTTACAAATTTCAGCAATGCGATGATTCCGATAAATACTCTAATGAAAATAAGTAAGAAGGGTTGAGCATGCCCTTTTTTTACGACAGGTTTAAAAAAATTTGCGACCTTTTGGACAGGATCGATGAAAACCTTACATTTTGTCTAATATTTCAAATTTTCCGACAAACGTTGGATTTTCCGACAATCCGACAAATTTTTTGCCAGGGGGGCGGCTGCCCCCCTGCCCCCAAGCCACTGCGCCCCTGGCTCTTGGAAACAATCATATTGATGGAACGGGAAACAGTCAGAATTCAGTGAAGGAAAGAAAAGCTTGAAAATGTATGCAATTTAAAACTTGAATTATCTGTTTGATAAAATAGAAATACGTCAATGGCTCGAAAACTCTTTAGAGTTATTTTCATATGTCCATCAGCATATTTGGATTACCATTGATATACTTTCAGCAACATTTATGATTTTTTTTAAATATAGCATCTTCATATCAATAAAAATTTGCAATTATTTGCTCAAAATATGTATCTATGGAATGAAATGAAAAAGGAATGAAAATGAAATGAGACAATAGGGGGAACGAATGGTTTGGCAGTGAGGCATCGCACTGTCAGGCAAAAAACGACAATGGAACGATAAGGAACATGTTACCGCAGCAGCCTCCTCTTCTAATAAAAATAGAAGGCAACCCTGATGTAATGAACCAAGACGAAGATGTTTATTGCTGAAGATCAAGAAGATGATGTGATGGAAGCTGTTGATCAAGTTTAACTGCTCAACAAAACCAAGTTGGTGAATACAGTTAACGCCAGAGCAGTGGTGTCGTGGAGAGGGTTCAGGTTGGCTTAGGCTTATTTGTTAAAATTCAGAGAGACTTTGGGGGCGTGGCAGTGAAATTCAATTTACAGTGCCGTGATATACGGATTCTCGTTTATTTTACACGTGATTTCGTGATGCAGAATGGATGTCTGGTACCCCCATTGTAGTAGAGACTGTGCAATTAGATTATAAACTAAATCAGAGGTCAGAGTCTCGCCATGGCCGTTGCTAGCAGGAGGGGGTGCGGGGTTGCGGAAATCATTGATACTGCGAAGGTGCATTCTCGACTTTTGGCGGGTGATACCATTCCGAGGTTTCGAACAAAAATACAACATTCCAACATTGAGATTATAAGATTCCAAAATGCAGAAGTCTAGTCGACTAAAAAGAGAATTAAAGCAATTATCGAAATCACCATCTCATGGAATTTCTTGCTGGACAGTTGGCGAAAATGTTGATCAATTAGAAGCAAGTAAGTGTTTGAAAAAATCGTCTCGTCTTTTAAAAAGGGTTCTAACGCAAAATGCAGACATTTTTTATCTGGTATGGTGCCATTTAATATCGTATCGTTGGTCGAGTTTCAACACAGACAACTGTTTTCCAACACTACTTATTGTTTAATTGTTATTGTTATCTTGCAATGAATATAAAATAAATACAAGGATAAAATTCAGAACGGCGGCGAGAATCCGATGTTGTGAAATAAATTTTCCAAAATAAATTAAATTAAACAAATACAAATATTTCGCCTATTTGATATCGTAATTGATAGTTGAGTTTCAACACAGACAACTGTTTGGCAACTCTGCTTATTGTTTAATTGTTATTTTTAAGTCTCTACAAACCGTATAATTTTTGGTTTGGGATATTAGAATAGTGAAATTAGAAGTTTTGTTTGTTGGTTATGAGCATTAAGCTGAAGGGCAATAATTAAAATGAAATGACATGAAAGCTCATCGTTATGAACAAATCCAAATTCATCTCCCATCCAGGCTTTTTATGGACCAAGAACACTAAACACGCTGGTAGAAATAGAAACTGCACTGGTGCCCTTCATTATTTATGCACCAAAAATTTGTTTTGTGTTTTTCAGCTATCATAGGACAGGAAGGCACCCCCTATAATGGAGGAGTTTTCAAGCTTTCAATAATAATTCCTGAAAGGTAAATAAACAAATATTTATCTTAATAATGAATTGAATATTAATTATCAAACTTCACTGGATAAATTATATTGTATATGATAATTTTAAAACAAATAAACCTATACTGCAACTCAATTTATAATGCAATGCATAACTATTTTACAGAACAATCTTGATTACTTGATTTTGTCATAGACATTCATATGCTGTTCTTATATTTCTGAATAATTTTATCTCTAGGTATCCTTTTGAACCTCCTCAAGTCAGATTCAAAACCCCAATTTACCACCCAAATATTGACACAGCTGGCAGAATCTGTCTTGATATACTGAAAATGCCACCAAAGGTAGCTCCATCTATTTACAACATCATTTTGTCTTCAGAATTTGTAGACCCTCTGGAAAACAAATTCATATGAGATGGGATTTTTACTGGTTACTTATGCTAAACATTCTTGATATTTGTATCATTACCCAACAGTAGCTGAAAAACATGTGGAGGCATTGAAGTGAGATGGCTTAGCCAATTTCCACAAAATAGTTTTAATGTTTTTTGAGCAACAAGTTGATTCTTTATACCAATCACTAAATGTTAAAATTGTAAAATGATCAGCTCTAAGATAAAAGCTGACAGGAATAAATAATTACTTGGTTTTCATACAAGTGTACAGTATCGTTTGTATAAAGCTTAGTAAATACTTTGTAGCAAAAAGGATTTTGGAAACCTTGTTGAGTTCCTGCTGAATGATTCAGAAAGATAACAGAGTCAGATTCACAATCATAACATTATTCTGCCAAAAGATTAAAACTATTCGTTAAAATATACAAGAACTCCTCTATTTTACTTTTTATACCAAATTTCAGGAAATGATTAACCCATCTGATCTTCACATCTAGGTTCCTAGTCCTTTTTTGAATTTTCAGTTTTATGGCAACCTATTTATTCAGCTCATTCATAAAATGGAGTATGAAAAATTGTCAGTTTCCAATTGTCATTGTTTATAACTTCTCAAGGTGCCCTTTTGCATGCCCATATGCATCAAGTTTCTTCTCTTTGTTAATGCAAATAATTTATTTTCAGGGAGCCTGGAGGCCAGCACATAACATCTCAACATTACTGAAATCAATCCAAGTTTTAATTGCTGACCCAAATCCTGATGATCCACTCATGGTAGAAATTGTAAGAAGATGATTTTAAACTTCAGAACTTCAAATTCATTTTTATTTTATTACCAATAAATGGTAACCATCTTGGCCTATGTCAGAAATGAATAAATGAATAAACCAATAAATGGTAACTAGCACCCACCTTAATCAGGCCCGGCCTACATAGAATTTTTAAATAACCACAATTGGAATAAGATACAGGCTTTTTCATTTCACATGGGCAACTGCCCTGTGAACATTTCTTCACAAAAAGGCAAAATGCAAACATTTTAATTAAAAAAGTAGTTTAAAAGTTACTGAACTATAGACTAAGAAATGAGGAAGAACATTAAAGGATTTATAAATAGGATAAATTGATTAGGATAGCTCTCTTAATAAGTAAATCAACAAAAAGAGTGCTCTTTCAACTTTCTGCTTCTTTTTCAAGCATCATAACTTAACCAATTATTGCTGATACATCTAAAAAACTGTTATACTGTTTTGATTTTGGTCCCTAGTCATCAGAATTCAAATGCAATCGACAATTGTTTGATCAAAAAGCCAAACAGTGGACTCAGAAATACGCAACAGAAAATGACCTGAAAGCAAGCAAGGTAATTATCTTCACAATATTTTCTGTTTATTTGGAAACACTGTATGTATTGAATTTATCATTACTTTCTTATAACAAAAGGCACTTTTTGGAACATTATGAGAATACTTGGGCTTCAGAGTTGATGAAGCCTTAAATTTTTTTTCAAGTAAATTAATTTCATCTTTTAAGAAAGCTAATTGAAAGCTATTGATGATTTAAGTCCCCTGTTTAAGGGTAAGTTTTTATTTCTCTTAGCTACAAGGCAAGCTAATTAGCTGTGAATGTTTGTTAAATTGACAAAGTTTGGTTTTCTCCTCTGATTCCAGCCCCTTGCTGGTCCACCGGAATCTCACAAGGAAGAAGAAGAGGCTGCTGTAAAATAGGATAGAAAGAAGCAAGCTTCAAAGAGGCCAGGTGAAACTACTGACACATCCTTACTGAACAAAAAAAATAGAATTGGTGGCAACCATTTTGAGCTTTAGCTTTTTGTGACAAATTACAATGGTTGTCTTTTGTTTCTTTGTCACATTCACATTTCAAGTTTCTTGGAATATTTAATTGATTAGTTCTTAATAAGCTTTTATTTAAAAGAGTGAAATAAGTTGTGCATCCTCACTGGTCTTAAAATTTGGCTTTCTGAGATACATAAATTTCCTTTTTTGTAAGTGATGTGTGTTTAACTATATGATATTATAGTGTGTAACATAACCCTGTTTATCCAGCTTAAAATCCCCAAAGCAGCTTTGTGCAAAATATCTATTGAGATTAAAAACAGAAAGGGTCCCGGATAAAAGCTTTTTGCAACACAGGAATCTGCATTACGTAATTCTCATCACTTTCCATTTACTTTGAAAAACTGTTGTGAATAAGATGGTAAACAATGAAGTTTATGTTTATTCCATAATACAGTAATTTCATATCCTTATGTAGTTATTATTTTCCAATGTTGTGCATATTATATGAAATCAATTGTACATATTTTTGATACATATGTTGGTCTGAAAAAACCAAAAAATCATGTTGCCAACTAAATGTGTTTTTATAAATACCAAGGGCAGTACAGAACATCTTTTCAACATAGAAAGGCTATTTGGCCAAAAACGTCCATGATGATGATGCCTATTCTTTATGCAGGCTAACTTTAGTGCGAAGGAGTTACCAAGTTATGACATCCTTCACTCTTAAGACAAACAGACTATTAAGATTAACCACTCCTTGTTTGTATACTCTATGTATGCCCCCTCCCCGGGTTCTTTTTAAGGGTGCAGAAAAGTTTGCAAAACGTTTACGAGTAAATTCAAATAATGTTAACAACTACAGACATTAAACCAATGAAGACATACCTATGTTGAAGTATGAGCTTGATGCACTCAAGAGCTAGTTTCATTTTACAGATGTATTTTTGGCTTATCTACATAGACAAAACTACATACATTTGTCGCAAATTACCTCCATATACATTAAGCATATTCACAAGAATAATAAAACACGCTGATCAACTGAAACCAGAAAAATATAAGCTACACGTGTCATTACCGAAAAAATATTATCTCAGAGCTGAAACTTGCAAAAATCTGCCTACTGTCAACTGACAATCTTTTCAGCAATTGTCTGTTGGCATAAATAACTAAAAAACGCATTAATAATGTTATTCATAAATTGGCTAGCTGCCTAAACAATTATGCCTTTTCGAGATTATTACATTTATATTTATGCAGTGCATGGGTGCTTGGATATCTTCTCTATGTCCAAAAACCAATTTTGTATCGTCACCCAGCAATTATTGGAATAAACCTTATCATTTTGAGTCTGTGTGCATTGGTTGAAAAATCCTATTAAAAGAGGACTGGATGATCTGTTAAAATCGAGAAAACAAGGAGTTGATGTACCGAAAAACATGGTGTTATTTGAGCAACTGAATGTGTAGGAGTTAGGGCTGTCCAAACCTTCGGATATTCCTATTCGGTTATTCGGCTTAAAATTTAACGAATATTCGGTTATTCGGCGAATATGGTGTGGTAAAATGGGTGTGGCAGGGTGGTGGTAAAAAATTGCAATCTGAAAATTTCTTGTAATTTAACCAAGCTATGAATATAGCTAATCAGTCATTACTATTCGATAAGTCAGAACCATTAATTTTTTGTTTTCCTATTGATATTTCCTGTGTTTTACGTAACTTCAAAGGGTGTGCTGCAAAGCAATTTTAAAACGATTTTTGTCAAAAATAAATGTTTTCTTGAACCTTCCCTAGCATTAGTTGCCCCTAATGGCCAGAAAGTCAGTATCAAATTAACGAGAAACCATAGTCGTAAGTTTGAAAAAGGGTCGTTTTCCAACATTTTGTGAAATGAAAAGCTTCTAGCACGGGCTTCGACACAGGTTGGGAAGTGGAGAAAAGGGGGGGGGGCAAGAGAAAATTTAACATTCACAACAAAAGATTTTGTGAAAAGTTATATTATTCTGCAAAATAGTGGTAGGGCCATAGCCCCCCGGCCTCTCCTTCGTCGGAGGCCCTGTAGAACACAAATTTCCCGAGGAAAAGCCCCATGACCCACACCTGCAACCCACGCTCCACTCCCCCTGCCCCCTTCTAATCTTGCTTTATTGGCTTTGTAACTATTTCTTGGGTTTGCGATTTTTGAAGAAGGCCCGTATCCATGAAACTCTCTCGAAGATTGAAGATAGGAAGTTGCCTTTCTCCTTTAGAACAATCCTTGCTATTCGACCAGTCAGTGCTATTCGGTTGGCGATTGCTATTCGATCAGTCACGGTTATTCGAATAGACAACGCTTATTGATGAGTCACCATTGTGGACCTCCAACAGTGAGGTTATTCGCACTATTCGTCTCCAACCGAATAATCGTACTATTCGAACTATTCGCTTGTAACCGAATATTCGCTTTGGACTTCAGCTAACCGAATATTGAAACAGGTAACCGAATACCGATTATTCGACCTTCGATGGACAGGCCTAGTAGGAGTACCGTAGGGTCGTTCATATAATAACATACATGCCCAGTTGAAATTCAACCACCGATTGACTGAAAAATTGAATTTCCAACATTCGGGAATGAAGCTTGGGACAAAAAGCACCACTGGAAACAATTCTATGAAAGGCCAATTTATTAACAGCAAGCATTCACTTTCTCAAATCTTTTCAAACAGCTTACGATTGTATGCATTTGTTCATTCATCCGAGATTAAGTCATTCTCCACGTGTTCCTCAGGTACGAAAAATTCAATAGTTTCTATATTTATGTTGTACGGAAACTGAATTTATTGAAACGTTCCTATGTTTCAACTATTCTCTTTACAATTGGTGAAAATAGCTGTAAAAATATTTGGTCACGTTATAGGGCGCTTGAATTTAACTTAAAAAACATCCGATGGTCTCAACACGGGCACGAGTGGCCTATATAATGAAATCCTGACGTAAAATCTTGTCACTGGCAACGACTATGAAAGACAAAGAATATTGAAAGTGTTCTTTTCAACAATTCGTAAGATTGCAAAGACCGTTTTAAGAACTTTAAAACAAGTTAAACAAAGTTTAAAATTATTCAATAAGAAAATAATAGATACTCACTAAAATATATACATGCAGATTAAGGTCGGCTCCTGGACAATCAAAGATAGTATAGAGAGAAAATTGCCCCTTGAATCATCGGGACCCATCAGTTGCTCTCTTTCAAAAAAAAGGAGGTTCGTAGGGAGGTGGTTCCTAGGGCTACTAGAAATGTATCACAAGATAACAACGGCACAACATAAGACAATTAAACCCAGGTGACTCTAACGGATGGGGGGGGGGGCTTTGGACTTTGCATCAGCATTAAATATCTCGTCTAGCCTTGTCTTCCGATTTGCCTGTCTGTCCCTTTTAGTTTATTTATGTTTTGAAAAAAATTAATTTTCCATTAACACAATTTCAAGTGCAGAAAAAAAGACTAGGCTGCGGCGAAATATCAGATATGAATCTAGTCTTAATGTGATAATACTGACCATACTGTCAATATACTTTGACGAAAGTTTAGCAGGTGCATGCCTGTGACCCGATTCACGCGCCCTCCATGCAAGATTCCCGTCAAACGTAAATACCATGTATTCTGAATGAATCATCATTCTTTGCATGTAAAATAAGTATTCAGAAAGTTTAAATATGATCGATCAATCGGCTTGTAATCTGAATGATCAATTACATTCTGATGCACGAAAACATCTTTCCAGAAAATACTTGAAAGCTTTCAGCAGCACTTTCAAGATGCACCCGAATTTAGCCAGGTTTGTATAAGCTGTATTTGTATAAAAGTAACGACCGGTTGGCGTCCCTTAGCAGCACGGTATGTCAGAGTATCTATGTTTGTATCTATGGAGTTACCATTAAAATATATCAATTAAGATAAGAGTAAGCAAACTTTTAACTTTGATATAAACACGGGTGTTTTCTGGAGCACAAGTAGGCTAGAATGGCGTGTAACGCGCAAATAAAAGTTTTTCTCACACCTTACATTCTTAGGCCATGGGTGTAGCTACTGGGGGTGTCATCCCCTCCAATATTTCCAAACAGTGGTACAGTTAGGGCAATCTTTTGGGAATAAAAGGTCCGGCCATTGGAAAGGGTTTCTTATCTCTTGATATACAAATTTAAATCACATATGAATAACTTAAGCATAGATAATTATTCATATTTTTTATTTTTAATCAATTGAGATAGAATATATCAAATTAACTTTTTTTTGTTGAAATCCTAATTAATTAAAATTTCAGGAATTTACGTAAAACGTGATTTCGAGAAGGAATATCACAGTCTTTGCTGAAAGTTGGTAGAAAGATGTTAATTAATTTTGAAATTGAATTACACCTGAAGCCTTGTTCCCAGTTCGTAACTATGTAAAATTGTTGGATATTATTGTCTTCTATAGCACGTTTGGAGTATTTTGCATCTTCTTACACATGTTCCTGCATTCAGTCGACGGTAGAATCCTGCGCAGATCTTGTGGAGACTACGCAAACTTCTCCTATGTAGAGCAGGATAAAGTTTTGCAGGGAGAGAAAATAACAACAGTAATTGTTCCATCCGAAGAAGAATGCGAACTTGCCTGTGTTGATGAGCTGCAATGCAAGTCAATAAACATAGAAAAGAGAAGGAATGCCAGACAGTGCGAGCTCAACAAACGCTCTACTGCAGATGCTTCAGACGGGGTAGCACTAACGCCAAAGCAAGGTTGGGTGTACAAGTCAACGAGCTTTACTGAAAATCTGGTATGGAACGAACAAAATACAATTAATTTCATTGTACCATCAACGTGTATGATACACTTCATCAACCTAAAGGAACTTTTATGTACCTCAAAAGTCAATCTTTCTAAAATGAATGAGCTTAATTTAGTTCATCAGACTATTAATCGAATTAGAGATAGATGTTTATTAGAAAAACTACGGCCAAAACGAAATATATTTTGACTTTCCTGAAGAATTTAGTAACGTTGTATGGCAGCGTTTTTTGTTTACCTTTATAATTTGTTTTGTTACACTGTTACTTCAAAGTGGTCCAAATTGCGCAACCGTGAGCTCAAGAGTAGACAAGCTGCAGTTCTTTAGATATATAGACGGATCCTATTGCTGTTTTTAGAAGATGGCAGTGTATGAATAAATTTTCTTCTGCATTGCACAGATTCGCTGAACTGATGCTAGAAGGTAATTTATTGCTTGAAGTTTTTTTGATGACTTTTTCGTTTCGTAGATTGGGCACATGTGCAGGAAACTCAATCCATGCGAACCGGAGCATTTGTGTCTCGATGTTTGCTATTCCACTGGATACAAGTGCACCCATTGCAAGGAGCTTCCACTTGGCATGCCGTGTGTTAGATGTGAGTCAATAATTAAACAATAATACCTTATCTCTTTAAAGATGATACATCATATTAACATGGATCGGGATTGCATTAGAATGTTAGGGATCAGGATTGCAATCCTGAGAATTGACGAGTGGTGATCATACAATCGTGATCAAAATCCTGACAGTTCCAATCAATCCCAGTTGAATCTGGTCAAATGGCTTTTTATCGTGATGTCAATCTAGATCCCACAAAATCAAACCGTGAAAAAGGTTTGTTTTGCGACCGCCACTGCTCTCAGACAGTAAAGGCAAAAAGCCATAGAACAGATAACGAGAATGTACCTCCAAAATCACAATGTCTATTATGTCTTCAAATCTGCTCAATGTATATAAAACAGTGGATAAAAGTCACTTAGGGTAAGCTTACGTGGTATGGGGAGCCCTCTCTGATACCAAGCTGAGCAATCTGCAAAAATATCAGGACAAAGCGTTCGATCTAATAAAATCTTCAACGGTAAAGGATACTTATGATAAGAGACTTATGAACAGAGAGGTAAAGATAGGGGGCTCAGGGGGATGAGCCCCCTTGTTGATTACGAATATTGGTAAGTTTCTACTTTTGCTATTGTTTTTTGCAACATTTTGTGCAAAAGCCTCATTGCTATTGTTTTTTTATTGCACTACACCACTGCCTATGAAGGTAAGTCAATTGATGAAGTTTGACCAAGCAGTTATGACTTATAAAATTGTCAATCAGCTCTGTCCTAGAGAGCTAAAAAATCAGTTGGTCAAAAGGTCTGCCATAGCAAAATACAACACAAGGAATAGATAGGTAGAATCTCCATGCGCAAAAACTAACATTAGAGTATACCAAAAGATGTTCTTGTACACTGGTCCATTTGCTTGGAATGAAATCCCACAATTCATTAAAGATTTCAATTCGTTTTAAAATAGAACTCAGATTTCACCTTTTGAGCTAACATATATCAGCTGGAATCAGTCTTCAATCTAATATATATCAGCTGGGATGAAATCAGTCTTCAATCTAGTAACATTTAATGTTAGAGGTTTACGCCAAGAATTCAAAAGAAAAAATCTCGCAGATGATTTGGAAAAGTACAAACTTGATGTTTGCTGTTTGCAAGAAACAAAACTACACGAGGGCCTAGACACAAACGTGAAAAACAATCGCCTAATATGCCTACCATCTGAATCGGTACATTATGGAAATGGTTTCTTCGTGTCTTCGAAACTTGTCAATCATATACATAAGTACTGGAAAGTCTCAGACAGGATCTCAGTTTTACAACTTCGAAGCAAAGACCTAGCCTACGATAGTCAAAAAATCAACGAAACATCTTTGAAAAGTTCGGTAGTGAAGACGAAAGCTGTAATCAGGCGGGAGACGAAAGCTGTGAGCAAGCAAACAACAGGGAGAAATCTTATCACAATAATAAATGTATATGCCCCCACTACAGAACGCGTTAAAAACGATGAAGGTGAACTGGATCAGATGTACACAGATTTGGGGAACTTAATTTCCGAATTAACAAAGGCAGCATCTCTTGTATTGATAGCAGGTGATTTTAATGCGAAAGTTAGAAAACATTCTGGAAATGAAGCATGCCTTGGACAATACTCACGAGGAAAGAGAAACAACAGCGGTCAATTACTTATCGATTTTTGCAATATTCACGATCTATTCATCAGCAATAGCGCTTTTCAACATCCCGCACGCCGCATCACAACTTGGGAATTCGCTAAAAAAGTTAACAACAAAGTTATTCATATTTACAACCAAATTGATTACATCATTTGTCCACGGAATAGAAAACACGTTTTAGTAAATGCACGATCCTACGGTGGTACGCAAGTCAACAGCAAACACCGTATAGTTATATGCAGATTAAGGATAGAGCCATTCAAAATATTTCGAAAATCAAAAAGTACCAACAAAACACCTTTCAATTGTACGCCATTGATCAAAGATGAACATGTGCAAACAAAGTACAAAAATTAAATTGAAAAAGAATTACAGCAATGTAAAAGTAATGATTGGAGAACGATAAAAGAAATAATTACAAATTCAGCACAAAACCATCTAGGATATGTCAAGAAAGTTGGACCAAACAGAAGAATACACGACCAAATCATTCAAGAAATGTCAGAGAAGCAAAAACAACTTCGACTAAATCTGTCTCAATGTAATAACATCACTATGTACAAGGCACTGAAAAAAGAACGAAACAAAATCCTTCATGAAATCAAGCATAGACTCGAGCAAAATAAGGAGCAAGAGCTGAATCTGAAAGTTAGTCAGCTCGGTCATATAGAAGACGCTTCTAAAATGTATAAATCAGTTAAAATTTTGCAGCAAAAGTCCTTTATAAATCCTTATGTTTACGACGAGAACAAAAAATGCATAACAAAGCCATCTGAAATCTACAAAGTAGTTAGAGGTCATTTCGAGAAACATTTCAACGACGATGATGTTAGTAGTATAAATCCATTCGATGGTCTGCCAAGAAAACTGAATAAAGAAATATCAACAGAAGAAGTTACAGCCGGCATTAATAAACTGAACAACAACAAAACTCCAGGAATTGACAATATATCTGCCGAAATGGTAAAGCATGGCCCTTTGACCCTGTCCAAAGCCTTCAAAAATACCCTGAATGAAGCCTTTGAAAAAGAAATAGAACTAGGATTGGGCGACGGCCTACTTGTATCCTTGCAGAAGCCTGGAAAAACCAAAGGCCCTGTCACCAACCTACGACCAGTGATATTACTCCCAATACTGAGAAAGATCTTGTCAAACATAGTTCTACATCGCATCCAACCTAAGGTAGAACGATTCTTATCAGAAACACAAGCAGCATATCGACCGAGTCGCAGTACTTCAGATATAGTGTGGGCATACAAATGGATCAGTGCAAAGACACAAAAATCACAAATTAGAGTTTACATCACTAGCATAGATATGAGTAGCGCTTTTGATACAATCCGACGTGAACAGCTTGTTGATATTGCAAAGAAATTCCTCGACGAAGATGAAGTAAGAATGATTCAGTTGTTATTAAGCAATACAACTCTAGATGTAAGAATAAACAACGCCGAGACAGAGCCCTTCAGTAGCAATATGGGCTCACCACAAGGTGATGCGCTCAGCGGTGTACTGTTTAACATTTATTTTGAAGAATCACTCCGAAAAGTAAGGAATTTTAGACATGAGATTAACAGTAAAGATCACGAAGAAAATGGTAACTGGTCTCCAACATTTCTACCTCAGGAAGCTATATACGCAGACGACGCTGATTTCCTCACAACTAGTGAATTGGAGAAGAATATCATCACAGAAAAGATTGGAGAAATTCTGCTTAGAGATAATTTGAAAGTAAACAACAGCAAAACAGAGCAAACAGAAATTTTTCGAGGAGACAGAAACACAGAGCGATGGAGGACAGTTAAAAAGCTAGGCTCTCTGTTAAGTGATACGGAAGATATACAAAGAAGAAAACAGTTGTCGATAGCATCCATGAATAGATTAAATAACATCTGGATCAGAAAAGACCACGTCAGCGAAAAACTTCGCCTCAAGCTTTACAGAACACTTGTAAAACCAGTTCTCATGTATAACAGCTCTACTTGGGGACTGACACAAAAAGATACGAAAGGTCTAGATGCTTTTCACAGACAGCAACTGAGACAGCTAATAGGAAAAAAGTATCCTAACAAGATCTCCAATCAGAGCTCCAAGCAGACCAGTGTACAAAAAACCTCTTTTAACCATTGCAAACACTCAGGGACGCCGGAACGACAAATGGGCGAGGGGGCAGGCTTGAGTAAAAGGGCATTTGAAAGATAATTTCCAGCTACTAGCAATTCTTTCGTAACAGCCATTTTATTTCGATCTTCTTCAGGTATCTTGAACATTTGTTAACTTTTCGCATTATTTTACAAATTTTGAGAAATGTCTTCATGAATATGCACTAAAATCAGAATTTCATATGACTCTCCCTGATTATTAGAATGGCCGGTTTTAAGGGCACTTTAATGAAAAGGACACTTTAATGAAAAGGGCACTCTGGCCTCCTTTGTTCCTTCTTTTAAAAAGCAACAGGGGCGGTTGACCGCCAGCGCTCCCTCTTCTCTGGCGTCCCTGCGAACACTAATGCTTACGTGATGCAACTTTTGAAAATCTTTTAAGGAAAACTGGCATTGATTCATGTTTTACCCTCAATCAAACAGCAATCAGTAACATTGCATTTGGGAAAAGTACTTCACAGTCATCGACGTACGCTCCGTATTCAAGCGCCAATGCGGTTGATGGAGGCAGAACTGGCGTTTGGAGTTCAGGTGGTTTTAGCAGATGCATGCACACACAAGCGCAAAGACCTTGGTGGTCTGTAGACTTTGCTGGAAATGCAGTTGTGTATTCAGTTACGATATACTCAAGGTTAGATTGCTGTTTTGAACGAGTCAGTGGTCTGCATGTAAAGCTTGGCAACAAACATTCACCCAATGCAAATACAAGAATTTGGACCACGCCCACTTTTTCATCGACTCAAACAAACCATACGAAAGAATTCATCCAACCGAAAAATGGAAAGTATCTTTATGTGGAGTCGCAGGTAGACAGCAATTTGGATTTTTGTGAGGTTGAAGTAATGGGATACCTAGAATAAACGGTTTACCTATACCTAGGAAGTGATGGGATACCTAGGTAGACAACTATATTTATTTTTGTGAGGTTGAAGTAATGGGGTATCTTCAATAACAGATGAAGAAACCTTTTACAAGGTTACCAAAAGAAAAAATAACTTGTATGAAACAATCATGTATACAGCTATAATATCAGCACTCAAGTTTTGTATAAATTTTGTTATTAAGAGCACTGTGGAAAATTTTGAGTTAGTTTCTTTGTGCTGCACGAATTTATTTGCATTAAAACCAATCGAAAGGTAATTGAAAAGTTAAACGAACCTCCATGAGGTGACGTCTGATTGCAATTCATCAGTAGCGACCGGAGGAGCAGTACAGGACATTGTCTCGTAGTGTTTGTGAACCAGTCTTGAGAGAGTACAATAAATCAATGACAATGCTTGAAAATGGCTTTGAAAAAAGAAAACATTTGAGTAAACTAAATCTTTTCGTCTGATATTTTTCAGAGTTGAAAACGTCAGACCATAGATCGAAAACTCTACGCTAGGAAACATATAAACCAAGTTGTGGAACGAAATAGGCCAATCAGAAACACGAGCACATGACTGTTGAGGTTGCCCAATCAGTGCCGCTTGCCTATAGGGATTGTTACCAATGGAGTCCTTAAGTGGAAAAGTGGAAATGAACTCCTTTTGTCTACCCAATAGCTGCAGACAAAACAACCCTCTATCCTGGAGTCATAGAGCATGCGCTCATTTCTTTTACACTAGATGTAAAATCACTATACACAAAAATTTCTCAAGATGAGAATATCAAAGCTTCCCTCGATACCATCAAAAATCATTGTGGGGAGACTACCCCACTGCATGTAAAATAAAACAAATGGCAATATTTATACCCAAACAAAATTATATTGCTCTCTCATTTTGATAAGAACAATTTTATAAGAACCCGAGCCATTAAATTGGTCAAAAGGGATCTTAACATGCCTATGCCTTGCCTATATTTAGAAATAACTAATCGAAAATGGCTAGCGAATGACAGTTTGGGATCTAGTATGGCGCCGAGTTGTTATTGCTCTTGAACTCTCATTACTGGAGCTCCATTTAAAAGGATGATCCATTGGAATTCTCCGTGTTTAAAAGATAATTTCTACTTTCTACTGCTGGTTGGGTCAGGATTAAAGAACATTTGCCACCTAAGCGCCCACAGTTCAATAATGCAGCATATCAACTAATGCAGCATATGCAGCTTAAAGTATAGTAGCATCTAGACGTAAGCATGTATTGTAAACAATTTTATATGATATAAAAAAACTGCGTAGATTGATGTGTCATCGGCAAGTAAATTTTCCTTACACTTTAAGCCATCAGTCAAGTCATTGATATAGATAAGAAAAAAAAGAGGACTCAAGATAGAACCTTGGGGAGCACCGGCTGAAATATTACGCCATGTAGATGCTTTGCCATTCAAAACAGTACGCTGTTTTCTATTGTGAAGGCAACTTTCTTCAAATTCTTTTTCCTATTTTCTTCAAACACTTTTCCTTCGCCTCCTCAATTAAATTGGATCCCTGAGATATCACATTGGCAATGACCTCTCGCTTGCATTCTGGCTGTTCATTTCTGATGAAAGTCTTATAAGCCCTGTTCTTTTTCATGATGAAGTATCAATTGACTGCGTTATCCAAGGTGCCTGGACAGATCTGAATGTGATTATTTTGTTTGGTATAAAGTTGGAAAGGATATTCAGTAAAATTTCATTCAGGTTTTTAACTTGAAGATCTAGGGATTTTGACTTCAGAGAAATTGTTTTAACACGTGCAGTGATCTTTGATTGCAGTGATCTTTGTTCTATAATAGCCCAAATTCTGCGTTTATATCGAGGTGGAAATATATTTTTTACACTCTTTAGTTTACCAAAAATAATCTGACTGGTTTTTTAAAGACGGGTGAAGACCTGATTCAAGAAATAAATTTGGCTGATCATTGTATAAAACTTCAATGCAAGATTGAGAATTTCCAGTTAAGTGTGTTGACTAGAAAACTAATATTGTTTTGGGCTGAAAAGAGGTTGAATTTGTTTGGTGTCAAGCAGCTTCAAATTCTTGTTGATAAAAATATCATCAACTCAACGATGAATTATAAATATTTAGATCCTATTTTAACAGTTGCGTCATGAAACCTTTAAAAAAGTTCCTAAAATGCTGCAAGCAGAGTGAACATGATAAGATAAATAAAGATAGTCTGACATTAGATGCGGCTCAAGCATTATGCAGAACGATGGTTTTACCAGTTTTTACATATTGCAGTGGTGTCGTGGAGGAGGTTCAGGGTGGATTAGGCTTATTTGTTAAAATTCAGAGAGACTATGGGGGCGTGGCCTTGAAATTCAATTTCCAGTGATTTCGGGATTTTCATTTATTTTACACGTGATTGCGTGATACAGAACTCGCCAGGGCCGTCGCTAGCAGGAGGGGGTGCGGGGATGCGGAAATCACAGTGCAGAAATCATTGATACTGCGAAGGTGCATTCTCAACTTTTGGCGGGTGATACCATTCCGAGGTTTCGAACAAAAATACAACATTCCAACATTGAGATTATAAGATTCCAAAATGCAGAAGTCTAGTCGACTAAAAAGAGAATTAAAGCAATTATCCGAATCACCATCCCATGGAATTTCTTGTTGGACAGTTGGCGAAAATGTTGATCAATTAGAAGCAAGTAAGTGTTTGAAAATCGTCTCGTCTTATAGGACTCAACGAAAAATACAGAATTGTTTATCTGGTGTGTTGCTATTACAGTAATATTATTGGATATCGCTGGTCGAGTTTCAGCACAGACAACTGTTTGACAACACTACTTGTTGTTTAATTAGTATTTTTATATCCCTACAAACAGTGTTATTTTGGGTTTGAGATATTAGTATAGTGAAATTAGAAGTTTTGTTTATTGAGCATGAGCACAGCATTAAGCTCAAAGGTAACAATTCAAATGAAATGAAATGAAAGCTCATCTTTATCAACAAATCCAAGTTCATCTTCCATTCAAGGTTTTTATGGACCAAGAACACTAAACACGCTGTTAGAAATAGAAACTGAACTGGTGCTCTTTATTATTTCTGCAACCAAAGTTTGTTTTGTGTTTTTCAGCTATCATAGGACAGGAAGGCACCCCTTATAATGGAGGAGTTTTCAAGCTTTCAATAATAATTCCTGAAAGGTAAATAAACAAATATTTATCTAAAAAATGAATTGTATAATAACTATCAAACTTCATTGGATAAATGACATTGTATATAATAATTTTAATACAAATAAACCTATACTGCAACTCAATTTATAATGGAATGCATAACTATTTTACAGAACAATCTTGATGACTTGATTTTGTGATAGACTTTCATATGCTGTTCTTATATTTCTGAATAATTTTATCTCTAGGTATCCTTTTGAACCTCCTCAAGTCAGATTCAAAACCCCAATTTACCACCCAAATATTGACACAGCTGGCAGAATCTGTCTTGATATACTGAATATGCCCCCAAAGGTAGCACCACCTATTTACAGCATCATTTTGTCTTCAGAATTTGTAGACCCTCTGGAAAACAAATTACTATGAGATGGGATTTTTACTGGTTACTTGTGCTAAACATTCTTCGTTTTTGTATAGTTACCTAACAGTAGCTGAAAAACATGTGGAGGCATTGAAGTGAGATGGCTTTGCCAATTTCCACAAAATAGTTTTAATGTTTTTTGAGCAACAAGCTGATTTTGTATACCAATCACTAAATGTTGAAATTGTATAATGATCAGCTTTAAGGTGAAAACTGACAGGAATAAATAATTACTATGTTTTCATACAAGCGCACAGTACCTTTTGTATAAAGCTTAGTAAATACTTTGTAGCAAAAAGGATTTTGGAAACCTTGTTGAGTTCCTGCTGAATGATTCAGAAAGATAACAGAGTCAGATTCAGAATCATAACATTATTCTGCTAAAAGATTAAAACTATTTTTTAAAATTTGTCAGAACTTTTACTTTTTTTACTTTTTGTATCAAATTTCAGGAAATGATAAACCCATCTGAACTTCACACCTAGGTTCCTGGTCCTTTTTTGAATTTTCAGTCTTATGGCAACCTATTTATTCAGCTCATTCATATAATGGAGTTTGAAAAATTGTCAGTTTCCAATTGTCATTGTTTGTAATCTCTCAATGTGCCTTTTTGTATTCCCATTTGCATCAAATTTCTTCTCTTTGTTAATACAAATGATTTATTGTCAGGGAGCCTGGAGGCCAGCACATAACATCTCAACATTACTGAAATCAATCCAAGTTTTAATTGCTGACCCAAATCCTGATGATCCACTCATGGTAGAAATTGTAAGAATGTGATTTTAAATTTCAGAACTTCAAGTTTATTTTTATTTTATTACCAATCAATTCTTCATGCAATGATGAAATCTATACAAATTAGTCCTGTTGCTCCAGCACAAAGGAGCAAATTATTGGGCCTGTTCAGTTTCAGAAAAATTGTTGCCTTTTTTCATCTAGGCCTATGTCAGAAATGAGCCCAATGCTGTAGCATCAATAGCACCCACCTTAATCAGGCCCGGCCTACATATAATTTTTAAATAACCACAATTGGAATAAGATACAGGCTTTTTCATTTCACATGGGCAACTGCCCTATGAAAATTTCTTTACAAAAAGGCATAATGCAAACATTTTAATTAAAAAACTAGTTAAAAAGCTACTGAACTATAGACTAAGACATGGGGAAGAAAATTAAAGGATTATAAGAAGGATAAATTGATTAGGATAGCTCTCTAAATAAGTAAACCAACAAAGAGTGCCCTTTCAACTTTCTGCTTCTTTTTCAAGCATCATAACTTAACCAATTATTGCTGATACATCTAAAAAACTGTTATACTGTTATGATTTTGGTCCCTAGTCATCAGAATTCAAATGCAATCGACAACTGTTTGATCAAAAAGCCAAGCAGTGGACTCAGAAATACGCAACAGAAAATGACCTGAAAGCAAGCAAGGTAATTATCTTCACAATATTTTTTGTTTATTTGGAAACACTGTATGTATTGAATTTATCATTACTTTCTTATTACCAAAAGGGTACTTTTTGGAACATTATGAGAATACTTTAGCTTCAGAGTTGATGTAGCCTTGAGTTTTTTTCGAGTAAATTAATTTCATCTTTTAAGAAAGCATATTGAAAGAGAATGAAAAATATTCATCGGCATTGTTTTATGCCTGCGTGTTTATGTTGATGATTAAAGTCACAAGGCAAGCTAATTAGCTATGAATGTTTGTTAAAATTGACAAGGTTTGGTTTTCCCCTCTGATTTCAGCCCCTTGCTGGTCCACCGGAATCTCACAAGGCAGAACCAGAGGCTGCTGTCAAATATGATAGAAAGGAGCAAGCTTCAAAGAGGCCAGGTGAAACTACTGACACATCCTTACTGAACAAAAAAAAATAGAATTGGTGGCAACCATTTTGAGCTTTAGCTTTTTGTGACAAATTACAATGGTTGAACTTTGTAGTTTCTTTGTCACATTCACATTTCAAGTTTCTTGGAATATTTAATTGATTAGTTCTTAATAAACTTTTGTAGTTATTGTCCTTAATATCCTTATGTAGTTATTATTTTTCATGGTTGTGCATTTTCTATGAAATCATTTGTACATATTTTTGAGATATATGTTGGTCTGGAAAAACCAAAAAAGTCATGTTGCAAACTCAATGTGTTGTTATAAATACCAACGTCAGAACAGAACATCTTTCAACATAGAAAGGCTATTTGGCCAAAAACGTCCATGATGATGATGCCTATTCTTTATGCAGGCTAACTTTAGTGTGAAGGAGTTACCAAGTTGAGACATCTTTCACTTTTGAGAAAAACAGACTATTAAGATTAACCACTCTTTGTTTGTATACTCTATGTATGCCCCCTCCCCGGGTTCTTTTTTAGGGTGCAGAAAAGTTTGCAAAACGTTACGAGTAAGTTCAAATAATGTTAACAACCACAGCATTGAACCAATAAAGACATACCTATGTTTAAGTATGAGCTTGATGCACTCAAGAGCTAGTTTCATTTTACAGATGTATTTTTGGCTTATCTACATAGACAAAACTACATACATTTGTCGCAAATTACCTCCATATACATTAAGCATATTCACAAGAATAATAAAACACGCTGATCAACTGAAACCAGAAAAATATAAGCTACACGTGTCATTACCGAAAAAATATTATCTCAGAGCTGAAACTTGCAAAAATCTGCCTACTGTCAACTGACAATCTTTTCAGCAGTTGTCTGTTGGCATAAATAACTAAAAAACGCATTGATAATGTTATTCATAAATTGGCTAGCTGCCTAAACAATTATGCCTTTTCGAGATTAATACATTTATATTTATGCAGTGCTTGGGTGCTTGGATATCTTCTCTATGTCCAAAAACCAATTTTATATCGTTACCCAGCAATTATTGGAATAAACCTTATCATTTTGAGTCTGTGTGCATTGGTTGAAAAATCCTATTAAAAGAGGAATGGATGATCTGTTAAAATCATGAAAACAAGGAGTTGATGTACCGAAAAACATAGTGTTATTTGAGCAACTGAATGTGTAGGAGTACCGTAGGGTCGTTTATATAATAACATGCATGCCCAGTTGAAATTCAACCACCGATTGACTGAAAAATTGAATTTCCAACATTCGGGAATGAAGCTTGGGACAAAAAGCACCACTGCAAACAATTCTATGAAAGGCCAATTTATTAACAGCAAGCATTCACTTTCTCAAATCTTTTCAAACAGCTTACGATTGTGTGCATTTGTTCATTATCTTATTCGAGATTAAGTCATTCTCCACGTGTACCTCAGGTACGAAAAATTCAATAGTTTCTATATTTATGTTGTACGGAAACTGAATTCATTGAAACGTTCCTATGTTTCAACTATTCTCTTTACAATTGGTGAAAATAGCTGTAAAAGTATTTGGTCGCGTAAAAGGGCGTTTGAATTTAACTTAAAAACATCCGATGGTCTCAACACGGGCACGAGTGGCCTATATAATGAAATCCTGACGTAAAATCTTGTCACTGGCAACGACTATCAAAGACAAACAATATTGAAAGTGTTCTTTTCAACAATTCGTAAGATTGCAAAGACCGTTGTAAGAACTTTAAAACAAGTTAAACAAAGTTTAAAATTATTAAATAAGAAAGTAATAGATACTCACTAAAAACATATACATACAGCTTAAGGTCGGCTCCTGGACAATCGAAGATAGTATATCGAGAAAAATGTTACAAATGCCCCTTGAATCATCGGGACCCATCAGTTGCTCTCTTTCGAAAAAAGGAGAGGGGTCGTAGGTTACCAGTGCTTAGCAGGACGGGAGCCTATTTCTGGAGGTGGTTCCTGGGGCTACTAGAAATGTATCACAACATAACAACGGCATAACGTAAGATAAATAAAACCAGATGATTCTTAAGTCACAATTTATACGTATCTTTCTACGGTGCTGAGTAAATGCAAAGGAAAGTTTTATTTCATCTTAAACGTGTGCGAGACTCGAAATCCAAAGAAAACTTGCTACCTTGCAAAAATGACCATAAAAAACAAAGTAAGATTTCGTTAAAGCCACATTATCACGATTCGGTTAAAACCATTTTACCAGGCTAGAATGACCGGTAATGGAATAGCATCTATTTACAAAAATACTTACTTTTTGTCAAATTTTAATTGATTTATCTGTCATTAAACTCTTATTCAACTTTCGCAGCTAATCTCTTCAAGAGTGATATGCTTCTACATCAGGTGCATTCCAAACTATCAAACAACGATACAAGATCGCACTAATTACCAACATTATTTGAAATGTAGACCATAATTCCATACCAAAGTCAAGTTGGCAGATTTTCGATTTTCAGCTCTCTTTCTCGCGGCTTTTTTGAGGATGCAAGCACCAAAATCTTGTTATCTCCTGGCTAGCACTACAAGAAAGCTTAATTTTCTTTAAGGACCTTCGTCTCATTCCAGAGAGAACTGCATTTTAAGCTCTTTCCTTCATTCAAACTATAACATGGGAGCTGATTACTGCAGACTTTATACGAAAGGGGTTAGTGGCTTTCGAATATTTGGTCTTTATTTCTGCTACTACGTCAAGCAAGGACTTATTCACGCCATTCAGTCGGTTTTGCATTGCCTCCAAATCATTTTTTGCCGTATTATACTCTTCCTCGTATAGGTGAAACTCTTGAGTCTCGCTTCCAGTCTCCATGCGAGCCCTGGATGTTTCGACGTTATTTTCTAAATCTGCGATACAGCTTAGAATTGTAGCCTTTTCCTCTTGTAAATCATCCTGTGTTTTTAAAAGAGCCTTCAATTCATTCTCAGCTTCGGAGTGCTCTGTATTCTGACTGAAGACATTATCATCATTATGTTCTTTGGTGTTTGGTGCCATCTTTTCGAATACGGAAATTGCTTCGGTAACACTTCCTGGTTTTGGCAGACCGTTATTTTCTTCACCTGACGCTACCTTGCTACCATCGTAAGCATTCTCATCACGACGCACTTCCTGTTTTTGTGAATCGACATCATCTGAGTCCTCTCTTTCCTCTTCCATTATTGCCTCCCCAGAACTACTTCGCGGTCCAGTTTTACCCCTCAGGTTACGCTCAAGAGTGCCTTCACGTGACGATGGAGTGGAAGACTCTGAGTAAGGACCTGGGGTGAAAGCTGATTCAAGAAGGTCACTCAGCGGATGCAAATAGTTGCTTCCACCGCTTATTTTGCGATCAATCGCCACTTTGATGTCATTCGACAAGTTTGAGTTTTTGGAGCCAGGTGTGTCTCCCCCAATTACTGGAGAAACGTCAACTAGGCCTAAATCGTTCGTTTCTAGATCGCCATGCTGCGCCTCCGCACCATTATCTGAACCCGACTCCCCTTGCTGTGGGAATTTTTCTGGTGAGGTCAGTCTTTCAAGAAGTATCCCCATTGATATGGCAACCATCCAGTTGTCAGCTGTCGGTTGGTCTTCTGCTTGGAAAACCAAGGACTCATTCTGTCCGAAGTCTAAACGAAACCTAAATATAGCCTTGTCAATGTCACATTCATCCAAAATACCTATGCTAGAAAGCTCGATTGTCTGGATAGCCTTCTGGGGTTTTGATCGCTTGGCTATGCAAAATTTGCCATCGCGAATAACGCAAAACCGTTTTTTAGGCTTTGATGGTTTGTCATTTACTGCCATTATCATAAGAACACCAGATATTTTACTTCCAGATTCCATGTCTTTGGTAAACGTGTCTACAACCTTTTTGTCATCATCATCTAAAACAATTGTGCTTCTTTTCGAGTCTCTTTTCGATGAACCTGGAAGCGAGGAGGACGACAGCAGCTGACGAATGCCCTCGCCAGCCGATTTCAATTTCAGTCTTGCTGTATCACTCGCTTTCCGACTTGACCTCTTTGCCACTTTCCTGAACATTTGTTGCCACTTATTGAAATCCTCTTCGCCATTTGCACAGAGAACTAATACTTCGTTATCTGCCTTCAAACTCAGCGCCCATTTTTCCCCGGAGTCTTCAGCGCTAAGGTTGTCGAATGTATGGTGTTGAACTGCGACTCCTCTTATTGGGACTTTGTCATTCTTGTTGTTGTAAATTTCGATCCACGACTGCTTCAATGAACACCAGCGACGGATTTTTGTTCGACTTTTTATTCCATTTGATTCATTTATCTTGACCTCATACAAAAACCCACTGTACAGCACGTCATCAGCACTGCCCGTGAACACGTCTTCTGAAATCTTCCTGGCCGGAACTGTTGTATTAGTTTCATCGCCATTTCCAGCCATGGATCTAGCCTGTTTTGATAACATTGATGAAATCGACGAGTTACTATTAGATCCAGGAAAAGCCCCTTCTGCTTTAGCATCCGTGTCCGCGTCACTTTTCGATTCATCTAGCAGACTTTCTCGGCTTGACATTCTGCCTGGGACTGACTTTGATTCATTCAAATATAAAGCATTCGAACAATTATCGAATTCTTCCTCTGTAAATACCAAAAATTTAAAAGAGGCTCTATCCTCCATCGAACTTAGAATGAAGCCAAATTTGTTTGCTTCTTTTTCAATTATCTCCTCTACAACCGCATTTCTCAAAGGCACCTTAAAAATTGGCTTTATTCACTGCCCGGCTCATACGCATAAAATATTTTCCCGGACACTTTACAATGGCGGTCCAGTAATTGCTCTGCACCTTCTTCGTTTGCTTTCACTTCTTGGACGTTTCCACTGAACTGAATTTTCGGTACTCCATCAACACTATCACCTGCATTGAATTCATATTTCTTTTGACGCAGTCTTGGGAGACTTTTAAACAAGGACGACATACGCGACCCCCCTGACTGTTTTCCAGAGCTTGAGGTCTTCATAGGTCTCTTGCTGTCCGTTTTTACGGGAGTCTTTAAAGTTTTTCTTTTATGTTCATCATCGGATATCGATTTTTCCGGGCGTCCTATAATATTTTCACGCTGTTTGGAAAAGGCAGATCGATCACCAGTCTCAAGGGCTATTAATTCAGAATCAAATGCTATTGATCTACGCTTGTATTGCTTTTTCAGTTTATTAACATGCGTGTTCGCGATTGTTCCCCTTTCACCATCGACCTGGGCGTTCAGGAGCCACAAAACTTCAACCAACTGAATGAACTCTCGCTCCTCTTTCACTGCCAAAAGAGCCAGACTATCATTTGTTGCCTGAATTTCAAAAATATACCTATCGTCTTTAACAACTAATTTCTTCTGGTGCAATTTGATTTTGCGAACTGGTACTTCCATCAACTTTTTCTCCAGCAACGCGTCACTAGCTAGGACGAAAAAGCCATCGCGTGCATCGCAGAAAACGTCAACTCCAGCATTATCCGCTTCGTCTTTCAGCCGTTTCAGCGTTCCACGAAACTGTTTTCTTTCTTGTGGCGTATCTGCGACATCAATGGGCTTCAAGTGACCGTTCTTAACCGGTTTCTGTAGAGACAGAAAAAAATCAGATTAGATCGGCGCACAAAGTCAGCACATGACAACAACATTCCCTACATTCAACCTCTAGTAATCAGCAAAAAATATGTCAATACTATATAATATTAGGGAAAAATGAACGATATTGAATTAATGAAAATAAAAAAGATAGCAATGGACAACAAGGTATGAAAAATTACAATATATCACGATGAATTATATCTACTAATTAGATGAAACATTTACATAGGACAGACACTCAATATCCCTCATGTGGCAAACAGTAAATAGTTTCATATAATAGTTTCATATATTAGTTGCATATAATAGTTTCATATAATATTAACAGTTAATAATGAATAGTTTCATTCACCTTTTTCTTTGATCTGGCATCCCTTTCGTCTACAAAAAAGATCCAACTTATGTATAGCAATATCAGAAATTCATTTAAAAGAAGATAATTTATATCAGAATTAAACGAAGAAAGAGTTAAAGAGTCTGTTCAGTATTCTGCTGCGCGAGCTATTACAGGAACTTGGAGAGGAACATCGCGAGAAAAGTTGTACTCGGAGCTTGGCTGGGAATCACTGAGTTGCCGAAGATGGAGCAGACGCCTCACTTTGCTTTACAAGATCATTAATAATTTAACTCCTGTTTATACTAAGGACCCAATCCCACCACTTCAACAGCCACACTACTCTCTTCGCAACCAAGATGTCGTTGGACAAATAAGGGCCAGAACAGAAAAATTTTATTCTAGTTTCTATCCTCATTGCTTATCCGAATGGAATGAACTTGATCCTGAGATCAGACTTGCACCGTCTGTTGCTGTTTTCAAAAAGAAGCACCTATCTATAATCAGACCCCCGGCAAGATCTATATTTGGCATTCATGACCCAATAGGTTTATCATATCTCACTCAACTCAGGGTTGGTCTCAGTAAATTGAACAACTTTAAGGATACCATAAATCCGATGTGCCCTACGAACGATGGTATTGAGGATACGGAACACTTTTTGTTGCTTTGCCCTTCCCTTGCAGTACCACGTAGAGACCTTCTCGCTGGAGTTTCTGCTTTAATACGACCATATGGACATACCGACCTCCAAAATATTCTTCTAATGCAGATTTTATTGTATGGTGACAAAAATTTCCCAGATGAAGTTAATAAAGATATACTACTGTTGACGCTTAAATTCATCCACAAATCTGGTCGATTTGATTTGATTTGATTAGAAAATTTCAAACTCCGTTATAAATCATAAAACAACAGCCACCATCTTCCATTTCCCATGTTCCTTTCTTCCTTTCCTTTTTTTTTAGTCGTGTATTTTTAAAGTCTGCCTCAAATTGGATGCCGCGCAGTAGTTGCGATGATACCTATACTTCCCTTCTTAAATTTGAATTTATCGCAGACATTGTCGTGGCATGTAATTTGAGACAGACTATAGTAGTTTATTTTAACCTCTGTGTCAATGGCCCCGGGGTAGTCATAGTCTTTTGCTCCTCGGGGTATCGTCCGAGTAGTATTGTAAAGTAAATTTGTAAGTAGCGTAGCTTGTATTTATGTATTGTAACTTTTTAATGGATATATAGAAAAAAAAATAACTTACATGTAGAAGCATAATTACTTAAAACCAATGAGACCATACCTTTTCGATGTGGCGCTGGCAAATTTGGCAGACCAAGATGCAGTTCGAGATTTTCAGTTTTGCCTTTGGTGAATTTCTGTAAATGTTGAAAATAAAATAATTTATAAATTAAGGCAAAAACAAAAAGCTTTTCAAAAGCTGTGTATTGAAAAGAAAGGTTGAGGTAGTGGATGACAGTAATTTTGCTTGTTAATTCTTAGTTAAACTGAATTAGGACTATTGTTACCATCAGGGCACTGGTGAACTCTAGAGTATTATGATAATAAATGCAGGATAAAAATCGAAACATTACATCAAGCAAATGATTTGTCAACACAATATGCTCTTTGTACCGAGGAAAGCATCCTAAGTTGCTTTTAGTAAAAGCCTTTACATTATAACAGCCCCGCTTTCTTCAACCTAGGGCTCATTTAAGGTAAGTCATGACAAATAACAAAGCCTAATATACGGACTATTACACTTCTCGTAGCCTACATAAAAACTTTATATGCTGCGAATAGAGATAATCCGTAAACGGCTTTCTCCTACCTTCAGCGCCTCATTCCATTTTTTCCATTCAAACATATCTCTGGCTAAGAATAGCAGAGATTCTTCGGCCCATATCAACTTGAATAAGAAATAATTTGTCTCTTCCATGACTTTCTTCGGAAGAGTAACTATATTTAACTCCGCCATGGCGATTGTATTTTCAGCAGATTTAGATGATTTCGAACTGTGGATTTCCAGAATTTTTGCCTTGATCTTACACCAAAAGCGAATCCATTTTCCAGCTCGTTCTAAGTGCAAATATCCTAAGAAAAACAAGAATCTTTAAGAATTCGAATCAACAAGATGTCCATACGAGGTCTTTAGAAACATCAACCGAATCAGCGGTTATGGGTGCATCTTTTCGTTCTTCATGTACAGGATTATTCAAATAAATGTTACTAGGGTACAAACGAGGTCAGAGGTCAGGTAATTAAAAATGCCGATTTTCCCAAAGGGAAGCAAAGAGGTCAGAGTTCAGCAGATTGTAAGTGGAAATTCTTCCTAAGGAAAGTAAAAAGGCCAAAGTTTAATATGCAAAACATTACTTATGTAAACAAAGATCAGAGGTCAGCGAAATGAAAATGCAAAACGTCAGTTAAGAAACAAAAGAAGCAAAAAAGAGGTCATCGTTTTCTACGTGTAATTTTACTTAGTCAAGCCAAGCACTATCTAGCACAACCCTTTAAATATATTAAAATCCTATCAAAACAAGTTTATTGAACTTGAAAAATCATTGGTGTTGATCTGCAGACGCAATCAATATACAATTTGATTCAACCAAATTTAGCATCGTTTTTTGATAGTAAAATTGCATTTATATCTGAATTTACTTACCATCAAGGTCGACGTCTCTCTCGGCGCGTTTTTTCTGCGAAGGAGACTTCTCAAAAGGCTTTCGCTTTTTAAGAGACTTTCTGCGGGTGGAATTCGATGTCTCTTCATCACTTGCTTCACTGCCAGTAGCAGCCGAATCCAAAGAAGTATCTGTTAAAACAGAAATTAATTTAGCAAATATCATCTTTGGTAACAACTATTTTGACTTAGTTATGGTCCACCGTTCGTGTTACACGAGTTTCCTCGTGCTGCAGAAAAAATTCTCGTTCATTCCAGATGTCTCAACTAACTTGCGCTTCAATGACATTGTCGGAAAAAAGCACTGAAAAAATGGGACAGTTGAAAAGTATCTCACGAACCTTCTGAGTCTTCAGCGCCATCTTTTCTTTCCAAAGAGCTGTTGCTCGCACTGTCGATAGTATCGCCGGGATATAACAAGCTTTTGCTAGGGAATCGCATATGTGGGTCCTGGAAAGCAAATCAGCGATGAGCAAAAACTAAGAGAATAATGATGAGTATTCGTAACGAGCGTAATGTTTATAAATACGTAACTCTTTACTTGGTGACACTTTGTATAAAGAAAATATTGTGAAAGGTTATGAAACGAGCCCAGCCTCATTTTTGAATTTTTGAATCAAGGATTTCATACATCAGATATATTCGTGTTTTCTTACACAAGTTATCGTTGTCATCAGGATCACTAGCAATCAAAAAGACATGCACAACACGTGAACTGACCTTGCCAGAGAACTTCGTTTTGTCAGCTTCTTGAACTAGAACTTTAAGCCAATGGATGAGCTCCTCTCTCGTTTCTGCTGCAAAGTAAACAGTCTCTCCGGTCGGCTGGACAATCTTGAATGAATTGGTCTTCCATGTTTCTTTCTCGCAAGGATCGACTTTCACATCATGCAATGCAACTTCTAAAACTGGCTTTTCGTCATTGTCAGGATTTCTGTAGAGAAGAATTATTGCTGGAAATTATTAAAAATTTCTAAAAGAAGTAGAAAGTTAACAATTAAAGGTAATCATTCGAAATTATTAGATCTTGAATGGGAATTAGGACTAAGAGTTTTACTACTATGCATTTACAATTTGGGTAAAAAATGAGAATATCCTTCGCAATTTTCTACATGTCTGTGCGTTCGCTATTTCGATTTGGAGTTTGATCGCGATTTCGGGCTAAATAGGTTTTTACTTTCAAGTTATGCTCAACAGGACACAATCTTAGAAAAAGCAATATCGCTTAACGAAAATAAAACCAGAACTTGTTCATCTGGAAAAGTGAACAGAACCAACGTAAGATCAGAGACATTCTAATTGTAATCCCGGTGATCTAAAACTCCAATCGAACGCTTAACAAGTACGACCATAACCCAGGCCTTCGAATGACGTAGCCTTGTGCTTGTATATGCATTGTTTATTGTTTCGTTCAAGGCGAGAATGTCCTAAAACACGCCACTTCCCACATGATTAATGCATTCAAAAAAATGACTTAGGGTGAATTTATAAAAAAAATTCTAGTCAAAAAAGAAGAGTGCTAGGTGCCATGAAAAAGTAAAATAACAAACGAAAATGAAAGTTAAATGGTTTTAAGAATATATGTATGCCCAAACACTTTTTAAGGATTTCCAAAATCAGCAACGAAAACCTTAATCGCTAGATTTAGAAAAATATCCTAGATCTGGAGAACAGATGGGTAGGCGATTTTGTGGTGCCATATATTAAAACCACAATAATTAACAAGTTTTTTCATTAATATATTAGCTAACGAGATTCAAATTTAAATGCAGAATCTCATGAGTTAGCAAACATCCAATATTCGGTGCGCCAAGAACTGTCAAGAATTAAGAGACTAGAGTGAACAAAAAAGTAAGGAGTAAAACAGGCCTACCCCCAAATGTGTGTCGTCAGATGAGAAAATATTAGCTAACATAATAGTGGTGACTAAGTGACAACACAGGGAACTATGAATACTATCGTCTACATACCTGTATACATACATAACCTCGTTTTTGACCTTGCAGTACCTCTTTTTCCCAACAGCCAAAAATCTTCGCTGATGTAATACCCCGATATGCACTGCCGTTGCATCGTTGAAAAATGCGTCCTTTTCAAGTTTCCGCCCGAGTGAAGAAGATTTTTTCCGTTCGAGGCTGTTCACGCTTTGGTTATTTACACTGTAGCTTGGAGGCACACTTGAGCTACGGGGCTTTATTTTTGGCAACGGAGGAGGTTCATCTTCTGATGAAGAATACGATTGGAAAGATCCACTTATGTTTCCGTCAGAACTTTGCTCCTGCGGGAACTTGCGGGGTTCTGAAATAATACCAGTTAGCAAACATGATAGAGATATTCTGAACATGACACAGAAGCTGCTACGCTTAAAGAACAACTCACATTCAAAAAAGTCTATTCACAATCGCCTTGGAACACTAGCATCAAATGTCAATGTTGAAATAAACCAACCCCCCCCCCCCCCTGAAAAGAATGACAATTTCCGGTAGAGTGATGGTTGTATGCTTGTTCGTGTAACAAGGCCCAAAGCATTTGGTGTTCAAGGTTATTTAAAGAACCCTTGCAGTTGACAACCCAGTTCGTTTTACTACGGTCCAAGATTTAGGGCGAAAAATTGCCCTGGGAAAACAGGACAACATTACAAAAAAACTCACAAAGCAGGTAAAATAAATTCAACTAAATAACTTGGTCTGAAGAGACTTTTAGAACTGACTTAGCCCACTGAAAATTATTTCTGTTTTACATTGCAAAGGATTTGTTTTACTGTTTCGTTACAAGTGTCCTATATAAATTAGTAAACTGTACAGTACAACGACCTTGACTTCAACACTTTGCTCCATTGGATCGTACAGAATTTTAACTGCAAGTTATCCTATAACCAGAAGCGCCGGATTACCGAAGGCTTCGAAAATAGGAATACACAACACGATTTGCTGGGATTCCTGACCCCAGGCGACCAACGATTCGCTAATTGTAGTTAACAAAGTCCCTGGTATTTACGACAACGTATCAAGATTTTCAATTTCCACTTCACGCTCATTCTTGAAAAGGATCTTACCTTCCACAATTGCATCGTCATCTCCGCGTACCTCCTCATCCGACGAGAGCGGCATCGGTGGCAATTCTGCATCATATTCCAAATCAGCGAGTTTATGGTATAGAGGAGGAGTATGAAGACTTGGATCAACATAATCATCTGAAGGCTTTCGTTTACTTCCATTCATGTCAACATATAAATCATTCGGTGATTTTGGAGCATCCTTTTACAAAAAGAAAACAAAGCAAGTTGACTACAAGTAAATAAACTGAAGAGAACTTAAGTCTCAAATTAGATTCGGAAAGATATGTAGCTGCAAGGTATTATTTTTTATCAGCAACAGAACAGAAGAAAAATCAAGAGATGGAAGGTGAAAATACCTGCAAAAAGGCAGTTGGAAAGTGATTTCTGTGTCTTTTTGGAACATAGAGAACACGGGTTGCTTTTAGGTCGTGACAAGAAGTGATCATTTTCAATACAATGTTACTCCGAAACGTTTGGAGCGAATTTGAACATAAAATTCATCGAATACGTATTGACAGAGGCGGAATTTGTGAAAAAAATTTGTGGGTTCAAGAATATCCTTACAGGCGCTAAAACAATCAAGAATCTGTCACGTGTCTACTGGCTCTCTTTCCTGTGTGACAATGCCCACTTGCCAAAGGGACAGGTGGTGCCAAGCCACGAAAAAGAAGGACAGACACAGAAATGATCATTGTGCAAAACATTGTCATCCCAATCAAAAAATTGAGCTTTTGAACAAAAGGGAATACAAATAAAAATATAATTTATATATAAAAGTCATCCACTTAAAAAAATATGGTATAGATAAATGTATTAAATTCCTAATCAAGAAACTATGTTGAGAACTGAACATGTATACAAGAAAATATGTCTATGTCATGAACTGTCTGACAGAGAGGATATGAAAAAAGCTCACCATCTCATTCTTTTTCATCTTATCAATGACGTCACGGGGTTCTTCATAGGCCGGATCTTCTATAAGATTATTTCCATGCCCTGAGCTCCGTGGGGGCATTTCGCTGTCAATGTCCACATATTTACAATTCTCCAAAGCTTCAACCCAGCGCCTATGGTCTTCGCTATCTTCAGCAGCTAAAGAAAAAGATGGCGACCCAGGCTTGCTCAGTCTAAACTGTGCAGAGGTCGACGATTCCACGTGGATATCATAATTCATAACATCGATAATGTGATCACATGGCTGTTGGATGTCTCTGAAAACGTACAGGTTCTTCTTCTTTAGAACACACCAAAGTCGCGTTTTTGTTCGGATATTTGTTAGAGGTCCACTACGGGTTGGATTTTCAAGGTTGTGTAAAAAGATTTCATTTGTATTGGTTTTCCTAAAAAAATAAGAAGTTGTTGTCATAAACATGTTGACTTTGCCCTTTAGAACATAATCAGCGAGTGTGCTTTTGCTGGCTTATTGTGTTTACGTGTCTCGCTTACCAATGGTGACGTTTTGGTAGGAGAAGTGTTTGGGAGTCGAAATGCAGAAGGACTGAAATTGTGTCTCCCAATTAAATTTGGCAGCTGCAAGCATAAAAACCAACGCACGGTACATGTGACAGATGGGATATTTGCCTTAACATTTATAGACAAGAGTGCACCAGCACTTCGAATTGCAATGCGATCGCTTGTTCTGTTTTATCAAACATAACTTAACCCCTTTTCTGTTTACCTCTAAATATCAACTCCAGATCAAAACAATATTCATCATCATTTAAAGGCTGATTTTCCTGAGCGAATGCACATTTGAGCATGCGCAAATCGAGCTGCCTCATTCGCTGCGAATGCGCGACCATTCGCTGAGTAGTTCAACACAGTTCGCCGATTCAGTGGTTTTTTTATTCGCTTTCGCCAAAGTCGCGCGACTAAGGCGAATCAAGTAGAAATCGGCCTTAATGGAAATAAATTTATGTTCCGTGATACGCCATATGACATTGATATGCCAGAACCAATTTTGCAAAATCTTACCAAGAGTTTCGCTTAGGTTCACGGTCATCTGCCGCCGGTTTCAAGAGCGATACACGAGGAGATCGGTCGGGAACAGGCGGCTTATTGTTGCTTGCTAGGCCCTCAATATCAACGTATTTGTCACTGCCAGTCTCGTTTGGTATTTTGGCATACAAGAGGTTGCTGTCTTCAGAAGTACTGGATCCATCATGAAAATTAGCGGCCTGAAAAGCAAGGCACCTAATCAAATATACGGTACTATCGAGTATTTTTGCATTTGTTTGCACATGCTTGTGGTATATCCTGACCACTGTATTCATGAATGGTAACAGTTAGTAAAATAACTGAATCCTGCATATAAAAATATTTAACATAGAAAACCTGAACAGAATAGCACCGAAACCTGCACCAAAAGTACATTAACCAAAGACAATGAACCAAAAGTGCATTAAACAAATGCCATCTTTCCACTTTCAACAAGAATTTTCCATCACTATTACAGAAAAGACCCTACTAGTAAGATCAGCAGATTAGGTGCCATTCAGCTGATTCCAACGGTTTCAAATTTCTTGGGTGAATTGGAACAGAGTACCTAGCTATGCCAGGGTACAATTCCCTCATGTATTAGTCTTATCCTTCCTCTGAATATTCATTCCCAAATCTGAAGAACTTTGGCAACTTGCCTTGGATAATGGGAAAGGGGACCAAACCCTTACTCCTACTTTTACCACGCGAATTAGTTCTACGGTACATAAATTAAGTTGCTACTTACAATAGCTCCGATATCGTCGCTAGGCTGCCTCCTTCGACTACGGTATGGAGCTCCTGGTGGAGTGGCAGACCTTTTGGGATCATTTTGCATCCAAGAAATTTCCCTTTGCTTAGAAAGGTAGTCCGTGGTAGCCGAGAATCCTGCATGGTTTACAGGGGGACGAGGAGGTAACCTAGGAGGTTTGTTTAAAGCCTCTAATTTTGCCAGAAATTCTTCTCGCTGCGTGTTGGCTTTGTCACTAAGTTGCTCATTAGTCAAGGTGATCCGAAGAAACCTTTCCAGCTCTGGCAGCAGTTTGTTGATGGCTGTAAAAAAAATTTGCAAAAACTGTGAAAACTTGCTAATAATCAAAAATATCTTATCAACGTGAATTCTCAAATTAGCCTCCTTGGTGGGGGCTAATATGGGGTTGGGAGTTGACCCCAAACCTCAAACAAGCCCCCATTCAAGAGGGGGACTTACAAAAATCATCTGGAAGTCAACATACAAATAGTTTGTTTTCAAAGCTTTTTCACTTTTTCAAGTTTATTTTGCAAAATGAAACATCGTATTCTTCGAATCAAACAACAAAATCATCTTAAAATGCCTTATTTTATTTTTTATTTTCCCTATGGCTGAATGTGAAGTATCATGGACTGATGCATAAACCAGCATGTTAAGGTACGGGCTTATTAATAACTGTTGCTTCCATTGTGGGGGTTTAATTGACAGGGGTCATACAAAGAAGGCCGTATTGAGGATACATGAGAACACTGCCAATAGGAATGTAGCAATTTACAGATTGGGTTAAGAATAAAGAGCTGAAACTGCCACAGGCAATTAGCTCTTACGCTGCCTTGCGCAATATGACTGGATTCAAGCTTGATTTTAGACAAACTTTGGTAAAGATTACCAAGTTCACTTTTCACCCTGATGTCGAAATACTCTTTTCTTTTTATAAAAACAATACCAGCCTCAAAACTGGTCAAAAAATAAGAACAAATTAAGAACTAAGCTACTGTAAAATGTAATGTAACTTTGAACAATGTTTCGTCCCAAAAACGAGGAGTTTTTTGCAATCTAGGGGTGCTTCTTCGGTGAACTTTCAAACTTGTCGCCCAAAAAAGGATGTCTTATTCATTTTGTTGGCAAATGAGGCTTGAACCCTTCCCTAGAGCGCAATAGCTGGCAATCGCACTGCTTACACCTTATCAATTTAAGAACAAATTAAGTACAACCCAGCCTCAGATTTCCGAAAAAATCAAGAACAGCCTGAACTTAAATTAACGGGTTCTTATAAAAAAAGAATGAATGGGAAAAGAAAATCTAAATTATTTCTGGTGAGTAATAAGAAAAATGGCATTTTGCATAACATAGTTAAAGAAAATAATAGTTTACTAGGGGCACGCAGCGAATGATTGGCATTTCGGGGCAGCATACGTAGATTAAGCTTTTTGGAAAATGGGTATTTCGTCTACGCAACACTCATTTCCTATTACAAAAGTACAAAAACCGTGTTGAAAGGCAATATGATCGTTGGAGTAGTTTTGCAAGGATGACGCAATGATCAAAAGACAGCCTACGCGAGATTGTTTTATCAACAATCAAATCTATGTGAAAAACTCAAACAATTTATTGCAGAATACCAAAAAACAGCCGATGAGTGTGCTTTGAAATCACTGAGGAAATAACATTGTGATTTGCTTGCATGCAGGCATTCTTTTTATCCTAGCATTACTCGAAACGGAATGAATTCTTTGATCAAGGGACAAAACAACACCTGCGCCGTGTCTTTCAATTCTGTACATAGTGGATCAAATTAGATAAAACCATGTTGGTAAAATTTCGTGTACGACATCACGTTTCGAGTAGGAACCATCACTATGGTTAAACAAAGACAAAATTCATCATTCCTTTAAGGAGGAAAGAGTAAAAATCATATTGAATTATTCTCTGTGAAGCAAATAAACTGACTTTGGACATTTAAGGCGAGCAATTACAACACTATCATATGCTCCTTTCTAAATACAGCGATAACTAAATGTTACTTGAATGTTGCTTTCGGGATTTAAATTAGTGTGATCGCATTATTCAAGGAAAGCATCCTTGAATCTAGGGTTTAACTGGATCAGGATCTGCAGTCATTTATCATTAAAATGTCATAGCTACCATACACGTTTACACCGTAATACATCAAGAGAGACGAACAAAATATACACTAGCCTGACAAAAGTTGTTCCACGACCATCGTTACAAATTTTGGTACTTGGTCTGAGATTGCAAAATCGTTGTACATACTTCAAGGTTCGATAGTAATTGATTACCAAAAAGGAATTTTACTCTGTTTAATATATCATTCTTGTTTCCCGGAACCAGAAAGCTATGCTGGAAACTGATCACATGCAAATTAATTTTTTCCCGTTTGCAATGAATGAGTCGTTTTAATTGACTGCGTTTAAATACGCTTTTGTTTACGTCGAAACTGGCCTTGAGAGTTTTATCTTAGAACTCGTTTAGCAGGTGCATTATTTTGAAAGATAAATAATTCATAAAGAGATTTAAGAAACGCATTTCTTGCGATATTCGACATCTATGTAGTGAATTGCACGTTATACCCAAGGCTCCGTGGTTCGAGTCCCTGGCATGACCAAACTTTCACCCAGAGTGAGGAGAGTCGCCAGCTCTCTGTGATTCCAGGCGTAGGAATCACGAGGTGTGGTCACATCGAGAGGAAGGACCAGGACACTGCTCGATTAGAATAAGCTTCTCAGTGTCCTAAAAACTACCTCCGGGTGCTAGGTAGAAACAAATAAAACTAAAACAAACAACAAACACAACGTTAACAAGATTTCCGTCAACAAAATTTTATTATCAGTAAATTGGTCAAAAGTTAAGAACAAACTAAGAACAATCTGAGGCTGAGCTACTTTAAAATGCAATTTTGAACAACGTTTTATCTCAAAAACGAGGAGTTTTAGCCATGTGTGGGTGCTTTTTCATTGAATATTCAAAACCTGTCGGCAAATGAAGGTTGTCTCACTTTCTTTGTTGGTAAATGAGGCCTGAACACCTCCCTAGAGCGAGAAAGCTAGCAATCACACTGCTTATACTGTATTAATTCAAAAAAATTAAGGAGAATCCAGACTAATATTTTCAAAGTTCAATTTGTTGGAGCTTATAAAAAGAATGTAAACTTTATCGTTCCCCAATCATCCATTCCATACTTCCTCTATCATTCATACCTTAAAAAACCTGAGACTGAAAGTAAATCCAAAATAATCTTAACTGCTTATTGATAATACAGTTAGTTTCCTGAGTGTTCTCACCAGAAAATACAAGAAAACGCTTCGAAATAGGAATAGAATAAGCGATAGTGATTTTATTGGTAATAAGGCTTATAAAATCTGCTAAAATGAGTTCTCCACTTAGTGCTAGTCTGTAAATGCAGGGAATACTTCAAATGGTAAGTCTATTTCTAGGCACCTCTAAGAAAAAAGTTAGTTTTACAAAAGGAATGCTAAAGTTTCTTAACGTTTTTGAGGGAAAAAACCTCGGGCCTTTTCGTGAAATCCTACTATTTTATCTGAAAATCTTTATCTCGTAAGCTGTTTACAAGGGCGAATTGCCCTTCGGTCGGCATCTCGTCTTTGAACTTCTTTTTGAGCCAATAGTTTTGTTGGAATAAATTCAAATGAAACTTCTTGGGTGTGAAACAGCACGAATTTTTTTCACGTCACTCAGGGAAGTATTTCAATGCTGTTCACGGCGATGAATACATGATAAAATTCGGTTGAATGCAATGTTCGACTGTCTTTCAAACAGAAATATTTTGCCATGTAGCTCAGCGAGAAAATTCCTCCGTTACGTAAGGTCTATTTTTATTCAATGTCTATGATTTCCATTTATAAATCGGATTAAGCAGCAAACAAAGCATGTCTATCTGTATTTTGCTAATCCCCGCATTACGTAGCATTTCGTGACTCATCCTGAGGCAAGAAAATTACTTCATACCACACTGCTTCCGTAGCGCAATGCTTCAGAACAATTCGAAGCAAGAAATTTTGCCTAGGAAATACTGCAGGCTCTTCAGACTCCCCATGATAACTATACAAAGAAACTAGCGCACAGCAGATATCATCTTTCCCTTTACTTGGTCGTTATCATTCATCATTCCTCAGAAACATGGGGGCGGATAAAAGCTGTGTGCCAACTTTTGCACCCATCATATCAGCCTACAGAGCCGCTATCCTATATCTGGGTCATAGTTCAAAGCGCGGATCATTATATTGTTGCTTGAGGAGGAACTCCATATACACACTTGAATGAAAACACCCGACGCTTTTGATCCAAACTATGGAAAATTTAAACAGGATGCGATATAAATTAATGGCTGGTTCAGACTTCACTAATTGATCAAGGCCCACGCCATCTTGGGGGACCGGGGACATGACGCCCCACTTGTTGCGAAGCAAATAATTTCAAGGCTGTAAAAGGTAAAAGAAGCCTCGAGTTCCCAATTTTTGTTAGCCTTGCACCCCCCCCCCCCACACTTTCAAATTCGTTGTGTGGTTCCTGTTGTCCCTTGCAAAAAAAATTATTTGTCATTGTTTTTTTCTCAGCTGTGATTTTTCTCTGAGGAAGAGGGTGGATCTCCATGTTTCTAATTTACAATAAAAAAGCTTAATGGCAGAAAAATGCTCAAATGTTAACATCACTTGGAAGATAAATTACAATAACTGAATTGGACAATATAAAAAGAAACAATGTATTGAAATCGCACTAGCAAAGGTCTTTCTTCACAAGATTAAAAGAAAACAGAATCAAGGAAGGAAGCTAATTTCAAATGCCACAATATGACTTTTAAAGACAAAGACAAATAACTAAAGCAGTTCATTTTGAACTAATATGCTCTTTGTGTACCATTGTTGTGTTTTTACTATTTCAAGAATGACATCAATATGCCTAAAGCAACACTTTAAATTTTTTAAATTCTTTTCCATTGTAAGGAGCAGTAAAACTATGGCCTAAAAACATGCTTTGTTACTTGAGTATTTCAGGAAACATGAGAAATGATCAATTGTGGAGGAGGTAACACAGCTGAAAATAGAATACCTATTTTTCATGTTATTTTGACAACAAGTTTCTATTGCACACAATTCATAATTCAATGCTTGTCTTTTAAGTCAATGTGTCCAGCTAAAGCAAGCAGCTCTGTGTTGGTTTTCAGAAACATGTGATTTTTCATGTCATTGCCCTAGCTTTTCATGTGAGCAGTTTTGGATCACAAGAATACTGACCAATCACAAGCCGTTATTTTGATGTTAGGTATAAGTTGGGTATAAGCAGTCCTTTTAAAAAATCAGCCTAGTATGAACTTGCCAATGAGATAAAAAGGAGTAACGTTCACATGGAAAATCTAAAGAAACAGCTCATAGGGCGATTACTGAATTTGCACTTCTGTCCAAACGTACAACACTAAATTCAATATAAGACCTTCCCAACCCACTCAACTCTATAGAGCTGCATATCTGGACAATGATAGCCATTAATTTACCATCTGACAGGGCCCGCTCCACATAATTGAAAGTGGGGGAGGGGGCAAAGGCCAGAAAATTAGGGGGCCAATGCTTCTGCTGCAGCTTTAAAACTACTTGCTTCTCAAAAAAGTGGGAGGGCCATGGCCATGGTACTGACTTAGACAGGGCCCCCCTCTCCCGTGGCACGGGCCCTGTCTGAGTCAGCACCATGGTTCCCGCTGGAGGGTTGAAACATTTCCAATTTTGATGCACCAAATTTTTTTGGAAATGGACTCTTTGAAGCAATGTTGTCTTGCCTGAGTGTTGGTTGCCTGAGATAGTGAAAGATCTACTCACAAGAACCTAAAGTCTAACAAGAGTCTAAAAGGTCTTTATGAAATGGAAACCTGAATGGAGAGGAATTGAAAACTTCATGTGTGAAAAGGATGAGACTACAAAGAAAACTAACTGAATCTAAGCATCCTTCCTTGAAAGAAAGATTTGTCAGGTCTTTATATCAAGTGGTGATCCACATTCAAGTGGCACCTGTGGCACCTGTGGCACCTGCCCTATCTACCATACCTTAGACACGCCACTGACTGTTTCGCTTTTGGAAAACATCTGAAAGGGTCAATGTTTTGTCTGGATATGATTTTTTGTCTGAATATGATAATGTAATTCGTTTGACTTTTGAAAAATTCTAAGCATTTGAACAAATTTCGACATTTTTTGGCTTTTTTTTGTCCCACATCAAAAGAACTCATAGTAATTTCAGACAAATATAGTTTTAATGTTGGCAAAATGATAGAAATTCAATTTTTCATGGGCCTTTGATCTGGAGAAAGTTCTTATTTGGCTTTGAGATTGGAAACTAACCACAGTATATACTTTCTAATAGGAATTTCATACAAAGTTGCTTTTCAAACATAAAATTTAAAATATTATTTTGCAAAAATATAAAGTCTTAACAGTTCACTGCTTTAAACAAACAGAAAACTTGAGGAATTGGAATACTGTCCATTAAATTATAAGCACCACAAGATATGACTATGTGTTATCTTTACACAAGGTCAAACATTTAAACCTTATTATATATATATATATATATATATATATATGACATGATGAAAGAAATTTGCAACAGCTTGATCTTTAAGGACATTTTTGATAGTCTATTAAACCCGCTGCTCATTTTGTAATCATTATTATTTGAGACAGTATGTTCATACAGGTAGAAGTTGCATTCTTGATAAACAAAGATGCTGATGAACTGGTGACATTGGTAAATTTCTATTTTGATGTGGTTTATATTTTAAATTTCTATATTAAATTTTTACCATTCAATTCTGGGAGTTATTTCTTGTTAAAATTTATTTTTCAACATTAGCTATTCTTTTGTTATTCAAAATTTAAGATATTCTTCTACTAATTTGTTGCATTTTTCTTCTTGCCTTTTTTTCTTATTCCAATTATGTATTCCCTATTTTAATAAGCAATGCATATTGTAAGTAAGCTGTTGATGGATAACAAATTGAAAAAATAGTTCTTTGAAAAAATTTATTTATTCTATTATGCTAATGGCATTAATCAAGATCAATATCTAAGAAAAATACTGTTAAAATAATTATTGAGACTGACAACAGGCAATGTACAGAAACAGCAGATTAGTGTGGTATGCTGTTTCTTTTAATCACTTTAAAATCTTGAACGAAGCTGCGTGTAAAATGTTTACATAGACACTTTTTATTCTCGAAAAGGAAGATTGTAAAAGGAATATCAGAAAATATGGTGATTCATAAACAATGGGTCTCATAATTTCAAAACCACTGCGAGAGGCTTTCCTCTTTGGACACTCACGATACATTCCTGACCTCAAAATTTAACAACAATTTCGCACAGAAAATTAATTCTGTAACATTTAAAAGTTTCAGGTCTGGTACCATGAAAAACATGGCCCATTGTCAACCCGTATAACTACTTTCATGCCTGACTTGTTAACAAACAATTTCCGGATTCACAAATGATTTTGGTGAGACGGATGGCCGCCAAGTGTGGCTCCTTTGCCATTACGTTTGAATATTAAACATCGACATTCAGGAGTTACTTCGGCAATATCTGCCTGCCAGTATGGTAATTAAAAGCTGTTGATAACCAGCATCGCTGTTTTTAAAAGAAGTGAACGCTAACAATATGTAAAGTCATATATAAAATCCAAACTTCATGCAAATTAAACAAATACCCACTCCCAAAATTTTGAAAACCGAAATTGCAAACATTCTCCGCAAGAAACAGCTGCAAATCCCCACTAATGCATTTGGATTCATCAACAGGCACTCTTACTTCTAAAGTACAAAGATTAATAAGGCTTTTCGCTTGCAACCCTAAGACCGTGGATCATAGATCAATGATTTGGTAATTAGCGTGCTCAAAGCACATAGCAAAAACGCGTTGCCCCAGAACATATTTACCTTTGAGTTTATACACATTATATTCATTTAAAACCTGCAAAAGATGCGTTGTTATAGTGTGATGCATGGGCCTATGGTTAATGTTTGAAAGTGACGGTCAGCATATATTGGAGATAGGCCTACTTACTAACTAGGCGTTCCGTTTGGTCGATGTAATGCTCCATTTTTCAAGTATCATCCATTAAAAAGATCATATTGCCTGCTTCCCATCAAATTGACAATTAAAACGGGGCTAATTATCTTGATTCAAATACATGTATATGTCTCCTTCTAAAACGACACTTCAGGCCCTCTTCTGGCTGACCTCGTTGTAAATCAGATTAAATTCTTTGCAATCACTTGTGATTGAAACTCCTTGTTCGTCGCACAGTCAAATGAAACTTCCTCTATCTTAATATGTTTCCCTGCGCACAAAATTCTGGAATGGCATCAAGTTTACATGATTTCTTTGTTAAATCGTTAAATAAACATCACCCTCCCGTTTTCAAGTGCCTAAATTAACCAAAAACACATCTTAATTGTCATGCTTCTCAGGGATGCTAGGAAATCTGCGAAGGAGCTTTACGCCCCTAACGAAACGGTGACTACCGAAGTGACTCATTAAAACAAAGGCATGAAACTTGGGTGAAAACCATAGTGAATGGGTTGGTTTAGCCCAATACTTGGGGAAAGACGTCTTTGGAGATTCCCACACAAAGCTAAAAATAAAGATATCTTACCTCATGAGATATACTCAACACGTTCACGAGGCTAATGATGTTCAAGAATTGCAAGATTAAAACTAATTTTTCTCATATGGCTTATTTCATGAAACTATATTTTGCTACAAAGAAAATCACTTTTCCTTTGTTTATCTTAATTGTCCTGCCCAAAGCTTGCTTCGATGATGATTATTCTTCATATCAAACTAATCTTCCACGTACCACAATACCACATTCCAAGCAGAACCAAACCCGATGCCAGAGCAGTGGCGTGGTAGTAGGGGGGCTGGGGGGCCATGGCCCCCTGAATATGGGCGCAAATGGAGATAAGGGGGCGCCAAAATTGTTTGCTTGTCATATTTGGCTAGGAACATCAAAGTTGATCGTACACGGGTAGAACACTTCGCTGTAACTTGCTATGAACAAAATAATAAAACGTGCGATTCTACAATCGAAGCACGTTTCGTAGCCATGACCCAATCAACATTTGTGTCATATGTTTTTGTGTAAACTATGTACGCGGCTTCACGTTTAGCACGCCAACTAACGAAGATTTACGCAGGGACCGCGCACTACTCTAAAAGTGAAGGGGCTGAAATGGGTGTGACCGAAATTTTTGGAGGCCACGCCCTCTAGAACGCGGGAAAACGCCCCTTTTAGAAAATGCTTGCTTATTTCTATTGAATTTTTATAAAGATTCGGTTCAGAGGAGATATCAATAACCATAAAAAATAGAAAATAGATATGTTTTTTACATCGATGTGCACTCTGAACCAAAGGTCACCCTTTCTTTCTTTCCCCAGTACATGAATCCTTCCCTCCCAAATTTTTAAAAAAAATCAAAAATCAATGTT